CGTGGAGGGGCTGGAAATCCCCGGTGGGTGATGCCCGACGGCGCCGACGTTGGGTGCTGAGGATCCCGGGGGGGCCAAGCAGCCGCTATGACCCCCGAGAAGGTGCTGAGAGAGGGGGTGCTGGAGAAGCGGAGCGGGGGGCTGCTGCAGCTCTGGAAGAAGAAGCGGTGCCTGCTGACGGAGAAGGGGCTGCAGCTCTTCCAACCCAAGGGCTCGCGGCGCAAGGAGCTGAGCTTCGCTCGCATGAAGGCGGTGGAGTGCGTGGAGTGGAAGGAGCGGCACATCTACTTCACGGTGGTGATGGACGACAGCCACGAGATCGACTTCCGCTGCGCCCAGGAGGACCCGGGCTGGAACGCCGAGATCACCATGGGCCTCGTCCGCTTCAAGAACCAGCAGGCGATCCAGGTCGTCCGCGCCCGGCACAGCTGCCGAGCAGGTACCGGACCCCCCCGCCGCGCCGTGGGTCGGGGTGCAGGACCCTCTGGAGGGTGTTCCAAGGACTTTATTTCTAGATCAGAAGAGATAGGAGATTGACAGAGAAGCAACTGATAATGCAAACTATTTTTTCCCCGATTGATTTTACCTCCTAACTAGTAATACTGCTGTGCTCAACAATTCAGCCTCTGTAGATAAAATCTGACTATTCCCACATCATAAAGTACTTATCATGTCTTAAAGGTAAATATGCTTTATTAACATAATTATTTCTGCTCCTAGATTTTGAAACCTCCCCTGATAACAGAAGTTCTTATGACTTTGGCCAACAAACTCATGGGAATCAACAGAACATTACAGAAGTGAATCAGCAAACTTGCTATTTTTAAAAATTATGCATGCTGAGCACGAGTGCTAAAGAAAGAAACCCTCGAAAAATGAAAAAATGCAAAACAAATATTACCTATTTCAGTCTCATATGTGAGGGAGCAAAGGTGTGGAAGTAGCAGTAAGGGCTATTCTTGAAGTGCAAAGCAGTGAACTAAAGTGGTGATCTAGCTGCTTTTATTCTTCAGTGGGACAATGCTGCCTCCACATCCTCTGATGCTGTAACTACATTTCAGAGGTGACGATGACATACTTGCATCAGGAGGTCTTCCACAGTGGCAAGACTAAAAAGTTGGTACCCACAGTGCTCAAACATGAGAAGGGGTTGTTTGTGTGTTTTTTCAAGGAATTCCGTTAAGAACCAAAGGTTACCAAGTTGAATCAATAACACAATTCTTGGATTAACCGAAAAGGAATACAGAAATATGAATATAAATAGCTACGCAGATCTCTATTGGGAAGTACATGAAAAAATAGGAACAAATACAAGGAAACGGCCTTTCAAATACCCAGAACTGGCACAACTTTGCTTTGATTTATTTTTACGGTATTTGTCAAATGTTGTCTTCCAATATCACCAGCAACAGGGCAGGGCATTGACTCTCATTTCAGTAACTTCAGTTAAAAAACCCCAAACTATCTTGATAATAGCATGAGCAATCAGTTACACATTTCGAGGCATATAAACAGCCCTCACATGCTAAAACAAGATCAAGAATGATTAGAGTATGGATCTATCAGAAAGGGACCACTAACGTGTTACTCAGACATCTCCTGAAGCAAGAAACTGTGGCAGGATTGACTGCCAGGTAGGGCATATCACACTTGGGAATAAGTAATGTATCATGGTTATCTCCAAAACTGAAACAGTTCCCGGAAGGTAATTTTTCAAGATGATTAGGTTTGAGGTAAATCTAATCCCCATTAACATTTCATAATTCATAACAGCTATTTCTTTGTTTCAGACTTTAACTTCTGCAGCTCCTACCACACGGAAGGAATACGTTTGGGTATAATGCAGAAATACGGGGTTTGGGTTTTGATTTTCCAGCCAAAATCATTTCTGCTCATCTTCAAAGAACAGAGGAACGCATTTTGGTGATAACCAGAGAAAACATGCCTGGATGAGAGACTCACAAGTCTTCAGTGTCCTTCCTCCCATGTTCCTCCCATCTTTCCACACTAAGAACTGATGAGTCAAGGTACAGCAATGGTACATCTGGTCACATTTTTTGAGGAGAAAGCGGCAGTGGTCCCGTGTCCCCCCGCACTGGCTGGGCTCTACCCTTCGCATCCCCCGCTGGGTTTCACCTCCCTGCATCCCTGGAGAGGGACTTTCTGACACCCTCCCGCTGTCTGGGGTGGCCCCGAGGGATATGGGGCTCTTTGCTGTCTTGCATGTGGGATGGTGCGTGTCCCCCCGCACTGGCTGGGCTCTACCCTTCGCATCCCCCGCTGGGTTTCACCTCCCTGCATCCCTGGAGAGGGACTTTCTGACACCCTCCCGCTGTCTGGGGTGGCCCCGAGGGATATGGGGCTCTTTGCTGTCTTGCATGTGGGATGGTGGTGAGGACCACGGCTGGCTCTGCTCCCCAGCTCCCCTCGGGGCTGGATCCTGCCCCATGTCCCGGCGCTGGCCGGGTGGGTGACAAGCGCCTTCTCTCCGCAGTGGTGCAGTTCGATGCGGCCATGGTGGGACAGCCCACGGACAAGCAGCATCCGAAGAGCAGGATGGAGGTGGCCCTCGGCTCAGCGGGCGGTGGGGACAACGGGATCACGGCGGGCAAGTGAGATCACCACTGTCTGCGGCCGGGGGATGGGGACGGTGGCCGCAGGGAGGCCAGTGCGGGCTCTGGCTCCCTGGGTCCCGGGGCAGGACAGAGGCACCACAGGAGCCGGGCTGGCACATCTACAGGGACCAAGCCACATCGCCTTGGCATGACGGGGCAAAGGACACAGTCAGGGCCACCACCTGGGGCTTCGGACATGGCAGGAGGTGACATCTCTGCCTGGGGACCCATCAACCTTCAGCTGCCATGGCCAGGACCTTGGTGGACTGGTGGGGATCCCTGGGCCTCTCCTGCGGGACAGGGGATGGGACGGATGAGGCTGAGCCCGGAGGAAGCAGCACGATGGTGAGCTCTGCCCGAATGCTGGTGACGAAGGGACAGATGGATGTGGACATGGCCCCCCCCGAGCCCCCAGGCTGGGAAGGGGCTGGAGAGCTGCTGCTG